TAGATACAGACCTGGGAGTCACAGCTGCAGAGGGAGCCCCCGACAAACCAACTCTCTGAACTCAAGGACATGCCCCCTTGATAAAATTCAGCAGCTCAGCATCCTGGAGATTTAGTATTCAGAGAAAGGTCAGCATCCTGCTGGCATCTTTATGATCACAAGAACAGCAATGCCAAATGGGTTCTGGGGATGTCACTTCCCAAAGAACCAGGGGTCCTTTCTGACTTGGCATTGTGCCTGCCACATCGTAGATATATATTAAGAACAAATATTTTAATAATAAATGAATGAAGAAATGAATAAAAGAACACACATCAAACACAAATACCTCACACACAGATTTGGGGAAAAAAGCACCTCAAACGACATGCATCAATATCTGAACTGTTTCCCCTGAAGAAGCAGACTCTACCCAGACTGTTCATGGGTCAGACTTCATAGGCTGAATTCTCTCATGTGTCCCTTTTCAGGATATTCTGGTAAGGAAACAGAACCACGAGGACTCACCATGGGTCAGACTTCATAGGCTGAATTCTCTCATGTGTCTCTTTTCAGGATATTCTGGTAAGGAAACAGAACCACGAGGGGAAGCAAACCAGGTGTCCTCAGACCAACTGGACTAAAACAAGCCTGACCCCCACAGAGGCCGGATCTGGGTCAGACTGCCCAAAGGCATTCCAAGGCCACTGTGTCCTAACACGGATGGCCCTGAGCATGGAACATCTGTGCTTGGATGTCTAAAAGGCACCTCAAACGCAGTGTGTTCAGATTCTCAAATCGAGAGATCTCTACCCAAACCACGTTTTCTTCCACCTTTTTTGTTTTTTTAAGCTTAGAATGGCAGGAAACCTGGTGGTTGGTTTTTTTTAATTTTTTATTTAAATTCAATTTCATTAACATATAGTGTATTATTAGTTTCAGGGGTAGAATTTAGCAATTCATCAGTTGCATATAACCCCCAGTGCTCTTTACATCACATGTCCTCTTTAATGCCCATCACCCAGTTACCCCAACCTCCTCGCATCTCACCTCCAGCAACCCTCCGTTTGTTCCCTATAGTTAAGAGTCTCTTATGGTTTGTCTCCCTCTCAGTTTTTATCTTATGTTATTTTCCTTCCCTTCTCCTATGTTCATCTTTTTGTTTCTTAAATTCCACATATGAGTGAAATCATGTATTTGTCTTTCTCTGACTTACTTCGCTTAGCATAATACCCTCTAGTTCCATCCACACCATTGTAAATGGCAAAATTTCATCCTTTTTGATGGCTGAGTAATATTCCTGTGTGTGTGTGTGTGTGTGTGTGTGTGTGTGTACACCACATCTTCTTTATCCATTCATTTGTTGATGGACATCTGGCCTCTTTCCATATTTTGGCTATTATGGACATTGCTGCTATAAACATTAGGGTACATGTGCCCCTTCGAATCATTATTTTTGTATCCTTTGGATAAATACCTAGTAGTGCAAACTGCTGGGTCATAGGGTAGCTCTATTTTTAACTTTTTGAAGAATCTTCATACTGTTTTCCAGAGTGGCTGCACCAGCTTGCATTCCCACCAGTGTAAGAGGGTTCCCCTTTCTGCACATCCTAACATGTCTTTTCCTGACTTGTTAATTTTAGCCATTCTGAGGTGTGGGGTGGTAGCTCGTTGTGGTTTTCATTTGTATTTCCCTGATGCTGAGTGATGTTGAGCATTTTTTCATGTGTCTGTTGGCCATTTCTATGTCTTCTTTGTGGATAAATGCCTGTTCATGTCTTCTGCCTATTCCTTGACTGGATTTTTTGTTTTTTGAGTGTTGAGTTTGATAAGTTGTTCTTTATAATCTTTCCTCATAGCTATAACTAAGCCATTAAGTCCTGCAATTCTACCTCCTAAATATCTCAACCCCCCGCATCCCCTCATCTCTGCCATCACTACTCCAGCTCTGCCCAACATTATTTCTCACTGGGACAAATGCAAAGCCTACTCTGAATTCATTTCCCCACAACCACTCATGTACCCTTCAACCCATTCTGAAGATCACTGTCAAAAAGATCTCTTGTAAATACCAAATTGGTCATATCGCTCTCCACATGTGCAACACACACATATTTTGCTCCAAAGCCTTGAATGGTCCCAACGCTATTAGAATTAAAGAAAAAAAAAAAAATCCTCAACAAGGCCCTGATTTCCCTTTCCAGCTTCTTCTCTTCCCTGCTCTCTACACTCAAGAAATACTGAGTCTCTCAGTTCTCTAAAAGCACTATGCTGCCTCTCACCTTGCAGGCCATGTTGGTACATATGCCTAGAAAGCTTTCTCCCCAACCCCACCCACTCCCTTCACCTCATAAAACTCCTAATGACCCTTCAGATCTCAGCTCAGATGTCACTTCCTCAGCAAATGGGTCAGGATCCCTGTTATATGCTCTCACGGCAGCTTGTCCCATTCTCTCATAGCATTTATCCTAGTTTGTAATTTTACATGACTGGTGCAACTAGTTCAATAGCTCCATGCATGTGGTATTCATGCAGTCCTCCTCATACTATGGGGTGTACATTATTAATCCTATTTTGCTGAAGAAGAAACTGAGACTCAGGGAGCTGGCTAAAACATGGTAGGGCCAGGATTTACACCTCAGTCTGACTCTAAAGTCTCTAGTCTTAATTACCACCTGCTGCCCAGTAAAATGGAGCTAATCATACCTACTTATAGTGATGTCATGAAAATTCCAGCACAGTAGGCACTGGGTAAGGGGTGGCTGTTATGATTATTGTGGTGCTGGAGGAATTGTGGGGTGATCATTTACCATTTTGCCCAGGAGAGAGCTAAGCTGATTGCCTTTCTGGGGCTGAAACAGTTGGACTTGGTTTGAAAAAGAGACTTTTATGAAAAGCAGCATGCTGTGGCAGTTCCAACACCGAGGATGTGGAAAGGGGAGCTGATGTGCTAACAAAACCAACCCTAAGATCTCTGGCCCCGGGAACTAACCATTCTGAATGAACTCGTGTTTCTCACGGTAAGCCCAGACATTGGGCCTGCATGGGGAATCCAAACCTACAATAGTTCCTTGAATTTCTTTTGCTACTTCTTTTTCTATGTCCCTGGAGCAGAGTAAAAGAGAGAACACACTGCGTTTGGAGTCAGATTCCAAGTCTGAATTCTGACGTATCACGGGCTAAGCAAGCAGGGATCCACTAAGGTGCCTGGGCCTCAGTCAGAGCCTCAGGGTCCCAGGAAGCCAGGAGACGACAAAGGACCACATGTCATTCTCTCGACCTGCTTAGGGATGATCCACTCTTCTGAGTCCCCCCTTTTCCTGTCACTCACCTGTGGCCATGTAAAGGAAGAAAGCAGCCAAAGGAAATGAGTTCCTACTGTATGTCAAGAACTTTTACATGCATATTCTGATGTAGTAAGTTAATCCTCACAAATATCGTGAGCAATAAGAGCTATTATTCTCACTTTATAACAAAGGAAAGTGCATTTTAAAGAGATTAAATGACCTGGGGCAAATCACTACACAGTAAGAGGTGAAAGAGATTCAAATCCAGTTTTGTTAGGTTCTGAAATCTGTATTTCTATTTACCATATCAACAGACTAAGAAACCTGAGTGTACAGGAAGAATTCTGGAAATTACTTGGATGTGCAGAGTGGTAGTGAAGCCCGTTTGTTCCTTCCTTCCGTTTACTAAGCACCTCCTTTGTGCCTGACATTGTGCTGGAGCGAGCGATATAGAGGTGGGCAAGATATGGCCCCTGCTCTCAGAGGGTCACAGTATAGTGAGGGAGGCTCGCCAGGGAAAAAAGCCTAAGACAACATCAGAAAACTGAGCAAGAGAGAGAAGGCAGAGGATTCCAAAACATCAGAACCAGATGGGGTTCTTGGAAGACAACTACTCAAAACCTGGCTGCATCACCTGGAATCACCTGGCTGAATCACCTGGAATCACGTGGAAGATTATTAGAACTAAAAATTTCCAAGTATTCAATTCCCAGTTCCACAAATGTGCAAGTGGGCCCGGGAATCAGTACATTTCACCATTATCCTGAGTGGTTTGGCAGAACTGGCTCCCAGTCTGACTCAGGTAAGTCCAACCCCTCACTTGACAGGTATGAGAGCAGACGGGCACAAAGGAAACATGACTAACCCAAGGACACACAAGAGCCCATGCTTCAGACTCAGGTCTCCAGCTCCCAGCCAAATGACTTGAAGTCATTTTTCAAAACTTCAGAATGATTTACTTTTAAGCATTACATATGCATTTATAAATGCCCATAGGACATATTTTATGCACATGTATAGGTAGTTCTTTCAGGATAACGTTATGTGCCTACTGGAAAAATAGTTTCTACAAAAGCACAGTGTGGAAAATAACACAGATCAATTTAGAAGACTAAAATAGACATACAGAATGGATATAGGTTTTCATAATCAAAACCAGTATTCTCCGCCCTCTTCTACCTCTGACCACCTCCATCCTAGGGGAGGGCTACAGGGCAATAAACTTGATAAATTAATCAAGGACAGTGCTTCAAGGTATGGGTTCCCAGACTGTGATGAAGGGAAGGGAAAAGCAACAGACAAACAAGCACTCCAGGTTGGCTAAAGCCTTGCTATACCTACAGCATCTTTCTCCACCCAGGAGGGGACATTCTGGTCACTGAAAAATTGCTGAGCCTCCTGCTCCTGACTTCTCCACAGGCAGCTCAATTCCCTTACATCCCTTGAATATCAGAAAGATCCTCTGTTCTTCCAGCCTTAGATTCCTTCCACCGGATACATGTAGGTGACAGGCAAAGGTCAGAGGTATAGAGGTTCTGAGGCTTGAGGGGAGGCAGGCCTTTCTGCAGGTGTTCTGTGAGCTCACTGAGCTACTGCTCACTAGCCACCTCCACTGGGTCTCCTTCTTTTTCAGTTTCACTGAGGTTTGCCCAGGCTGCTTGTTGGAGCACTCTGACAGCAAACTCTGCATGCTCTGCCTCAATTTCCTCACATCCGACTTTGTGGTGGTCTTGCCCGATTCCAATCCCATTTACCAATATGCGGGTCATCCTTGGGCAGGGGCCCTGCTAACCTTCTCTGTGTCATTCCAATTTTAGCGTATGTGCTGCCAAAGCAAGCCCCCAATTCCATCACCTTCTGAGGCCCAGCTACCGCAGCCACAGCTAACCCTTCCTCTTCCACTCGCAGGCCCCAGGCTCCGCAGAAGCAGTGGTTAGAGAGGCAGGTAGGAGAGACTCAGCAGAGTTCTGTTAGAGAAGCTAAATGCAGAAAGGGTTCCAAGGAGGGGTGCAACAGCAGTGCTGGGTGGGGAGGGGGCCTCAGAGGGACTGGAGGAGAGACGGACTCAGCTCCCCGGCCTCCCCACCCTGGCTCTGTCACTGATATGCCAGGCAAGGCACACCCTTCTTTTAGCCTCATTTTTCTCATCTGTAAGTGAAGAAATTGAATTAGCTTGTGTCCATGGTTCCCATCCAGATTCTGAAATTCTATTTTTCTCTTTTTGGCATTGGATACAAATGACTAAGATTGACACTATGACTCAATAATAAATGTTTCTAACCCAGAACTACAGATCCTGAAATCTGAGAGCTAGAAGAGATTGACCCATCCAGTTTTTTCTTTCCTACCCATTTGATGATAAGGAAATTAAGGCCCAGAGAGGGGACTATAAATTCTCTGAGGGTTGGGACTATCTGTCTCATTCCCCACTGTATGCCTGGCGCATTTTCAAAATGTTTGTTGAATGAATGAATGAACAAATAACCTCCCTCCAAGGTCATGTGGCCTGGCCTGGGGGCAGGGGAAATATCCTCACTCCTTGCCTGGAGGGAGGGAGCAGGATAAGACAGAAGCCTCAGGCTGCTTCTGGCCCTTGAAGTTATGGCGCTCTCCAGCTGGAGAGCCAGAACAGAGCCAGGAACAAATTCTCAAGGCTGGTGGTGCCAGCAGCGGTTGGCCACAGAGTGGGCTTCTGCTAGAGTCCTCCGTGCTGTGCATAATGAATCACGATATGTCAATTACTACATTCTGTTAACAAGCTCGTGTCCGACTGTGCACCGCCAATGAGTGCCCTGCAATTTGCCACACATCTGTGGCAGAGCAAGTGGGGCAGAGGATTTTGAGACACTCCAGGCCCAGGGAAATCAGGTGGTCGGTTTGTTTTTGGCAACTACTGGCCGCAGTGATTGGGCAGCAGTATGGAGGGATGTACATTCTCCTTTCTAGGGAGCAGGTCTGTGTCCCGGGTACCCTTTCGTGTCCTGGAGGGAAAAGGGTGTCTGACTCAGGTAAGTCCAGCTAGAGGAAGCCGTCTCTGTACTATTTTGTCTGAAGTACCAGCCAATATGGGGCAGAGGTAGAGTGGGAATTAAAAAATCCCTCCCCCCAGCCCCGCATGGTTTGATGGCCTGATCATCTATTAGCAGCTCCGAAGTCACAAACAGGATTCAAAACCTGGCTCTACTGCATATGAGCTCTGTGACCTTAAGTAAGTCTCTTAATTTCTCTGTGACTCAGTTTCCGCATCTGCAAACTGGGGATAATAATACCTACTTTGCAGAGCTATTTGCAAGGACTAAACGAGATAATGCATATCAAACCCAGAATAGCAGCTGGTACGTAGCGGGCGTGCAATTCATGAGCCTCCTACCACGTTCGAGATGTTTTCTGAAGGGATTCTCATCTCTGGAGGAAGACTGGGGCCAGGACCTTGGCAATCCCAGACAAGTGTGTTTCAGATGTGTGTGTGCCCCTCCGCCCCCCACCCCTGAAGTGGCTCCACGGGGACGATGACAACTGCAGTCATGTGAGGATGTCAGATGTGCCTTCCTCACCTCCACACTGGCTGCGCGAAAAGTGAAGAAGCTCCCGGTGAGAGGGGAGGCTGCTCATTGCTCAGGCAGCACCGCTGCAGCCCCTGACCTACTTTCTTACTAAAAATAGCCCCTCTTAGGTCACTGCCGCAAACTGAATTCCACTGCTTCACTGCACCCCGGAAGCAGATGGGTGGGCGTCAGAGCACATTTGGTGAGCCCGAGCCCGAGCCCCCGCCTCTGCGGCACGTGGCTGCCCACTACGCACGCTGATCCCACACAGCTGCGCGCCGGCCGCCGGCTCCTGGGCCCACCCCGCCCCACGCCGCTGTCTGCGCACAGCAGGGCTGAGCCTTGGGGGGCGCGGAGGGAGACAAGGGGCGCTGACTGGACTTCCAGTTCCTGGCCTCAACTATGAGCTCCACTGCGTTCTTGTTACTTCACCTTGAGCAAGACACTTAACTTTCCTTTGCCTCGGTCTCCTCATCCATAAAAGGGAGCTAATAAAACTGACCTCGAGGTATTATACAGATAAGACATGCTGCATGTAGAGGGTCGTTGGCAAAGAATAGGTGCTCGATAATGAAGCGATGACAGTTACTCTCTGCCGTCTGGCCCGCTGCGCCACAACGCCCTCGTGCTGAAGCCTCTTAGGGCAGCAGCGGCATGAGCCGCCGGACCACCCCGAAAACCAGACACAGTTCAGACTGAAAGCTCTTTAGAGGCAGTTAGGTCAAGGGCTCCCACACATGGCTAAGCATCACAGTACCAAAGTGGCTTGTGAACAATACCGATTCCCGGGGCACCTGGGTGGCTCCGTCAGTTAAGCATCTGACTCTTGATTTCGGCTCAGGTCATGAGATCCAGCCCCACATGGGGCTCCATGCTCAGCTCAGAGTCCGCTTGGGATTCTCTCTCTCTCTCTCTCTCTCCTCTGCCCCTCCCCACCACTCTCTCTCTCTAATAAATAAATAAATCTCCAAACAAACTAAACAAACAAACCAATACTGATTCCAGGTCTTTGCCCTGGATTTTGGGATTCAGGACACCTGTCTGGGGACACGGGAATCTGCATTTTAATAAGCTTTCCAGGTATCTGTGATGCACTGCCAGGTTTGAGAAACTTTGAGTTAAGCCAATCACCTCCTTAAAAATAAATGCGTAGGGGCGCCTGGGTGGCTCAGTCGTTAAGCGTCTGCCTTCAGCTCGGGTCATGATCCCGGGGTCCTGGGATCGAGCCCCCCATCAGGCTCCCTGCTCTGCGGGAGGCCTGCTTCTCCCTCTCGCTCACCCCTGCTTGTGTTCCCTCTCTCTGTCTCTGTGTTTCTCTGTCAAATAAATGGATAAAATCTTTAAAAAAAAACAAATGCGTAAATGAATTATTGTTATTTGTCCTCCATTATAAGGATAATGAATGGCCATTATAAAATATGCATAAAACATGGAAAAGTAAAAAGTGAAAAACAATTCAACCAACATGTATTGAGTACCCACTAAATGCCAGGCCCTCTGCTAAGCAGTGGGGATTTGGCAATAGCACAGTTCTGACCAGGATGCCTGGGTGGTTCAGTCGGTTAAGTGTTTGCCTTCGGCTCAGGTCATGATCCCAGGGTTCTGGGATCAAGTTTCACATTGGGCTCCTTGCTCAGCAGGGAGCCTGTTTCTCCCTCTGCCTGCCGTTCCCCCGCTTGTGCTCTCTCTCTCTTTCTCTGACAAATAAATAAAATCTTAAAACACACACACACACACACACACAGTTCTGACCCTCAAGGGGCATCCAGTCTATGTGTAGAGACAAAAATAGACATGGAAAACTAATACACATGTTAGCGCTTTCTTACAAAATCTACAGAAACAGAGATGAAGGCGTAATTTACTTTTTCTAGGAAGTCAGGGAAATTTAAAACTGGCTTGGAAGGAGAGTAAGTATTCACCCGCTGGCCAAGGGAGGAAAGGGCATTGCAGAAGGAATAAACAGGACATACAAAAGCACGCACAGTGTTTGTTGGGAAAATGTCCTAAGGTCACCATATATGGCAAATGATGGCACAGGGGTAGCTGGTGTGAGTGACTGTGGCTAGATCATTAAGGATCCTGGATGACATCAACATTGTTGCCTACATTGGGAAGTATGATTTTTCCCACTACATTTTTTTTTTTTAAGATTTTATTTATTTGACAGAGAGAGACACAGCGAGAGAGGGAACACAAGCAGGGGGAGTGGGAGAGGGAGAAGCAGGCTTCCCGCTGAGCAGGGAGTCCGATGTGGGGCTCGATCCCAGGACCCTGGGATCGTGACCTGGGATCATGACCTGAGCTGAAGGCAGACGCTTAACAACCGAGCCACCCAGTAGTGCCCCACTACAGTTTTTTTTATAGATGCCTTTTTGGTTTCATTCTTACATGACCAACGCTGGTACCCTTAGTAAATACTGCAAATTAGTCAAGGAGATGAACCATAATTTATCCAATCCCAATTATCAGACATTTAGGCAGCTTCTAGTTTCACTAAATTGTACAAACACCATGATGAGCCTCTTTAACCATAAAGCTGTTTCCATATTTAAGGTCTTTCCTTAGGAGACAATTCCAGGATATGAATTAATAAGTGAAACTGAATGGGCATCTTCAAGGCTCTTGATTAATAATAGTTCCAAAGGATTTTCCAAAAGCGGTCTGTTTTTGTAAATGAGGAGGTAAGGCCCAAAGAAGTTATATGTCTTGTCCAAGTCACACTGTTGAATGGGGGTGGAACCAAGAGCAATACCTGAGTCTCCTAACTCCTAGCCCAGCGTCCTTTCTTTTACATCACATTGCCTTCCTACAGATGAGGGCTGAAAGCAATAAGATCTATTCAGCCAATGCCTGTGATCACTTCTAACTAAGGATTTTAGGTTAGCAATGTACATGGGTAGGATATTAAAGCAATATGTATGTTTATGCACAATACACATGTGAAGCTCTATATGAAAGTCTATTTTTCTAACCTTATCATGTATGCTCCCCCTGCAATTTCAGTTTCTGTTCTAACCAAGCCAAGTGTATCTTACACTGTCTTACCTCTGTACCTTTGATCCTACATGAAATGTCTCCTGTTCACCTATTGAAATTCTATGCATATTTTAAAAAGACAGACCTACATGATCCAAAAAGCATTTCCAGACTGTGGGCATTTACCACCATAATACCCATATATGATACTTATTTTATTGCTTTGTACTACCTCTGGTATTGATGTAAAATTATTTAAGTTTATCTCCAAATAAAAGTCTGTCTCAGGCCTCTCTTGTTAGAGGTAAAGCAA